TGTCCCCAAATGTCCCCCCAATGTCCCCCCGCTGTCCCCAATGTCCCCCCGCTGTCCCCAGGCTGTGCCTTCGTCAAGTTCCAGAGCCACGCGGAGGCGCAGGCCGCCATCGCCGCCCTGCACGGGAGCCGCACGCTGCCGGTGAGGGACGTCCCGGGCTGCCACCGCCGGCCGCCTTCGGCCCGTCCCCTCCTCATCCTCCTCATGGTGCCCTCCTCATCCTCGTCATTGTCACCTTGTCATCCTCGTCATGGTTCCCTCGTCATCCTCGTCATGGTTCCCTTCATCATCCTCCTCATTGTCCCCCTCCTCATTCTCCTCATTGTCCCCTCATCGTCCTCGTCATCATCATCCTCCTCATCATCCTCATCATTGTCCCTTCATCTCTTCCTCATCATTGTCCCTTCATCTCTTCCTCATCATTGTCCCTTCATCATCCCCTTCATCATCCTCCTCATTGTCCCTTCATCATTCTCGTCATTGTCCCTTCATCTCTTCCTCCATTGTCCCCTCCATCATCCTCCTCTTTGTCCCCTCCATTGTCTCCTTCATCATCCTCATCCTCTTCATCCCCTCCGTCACCCTCACCCCGTCACCGCCCCACCCCGAGTGACCGCGAGTGACCGTGAGTGGCCGCAAGTGACCACGAGTGACTGTGACCAGTGAGTGACCGTGAGTGAGCATGTGTGCCCGTGAGTGACCGTGAGTGACCGTAACCAGTGAGTGACCGTGAGTGACCACGAGTGACCATGAGTGACCACCACAAGTGACTGTGACCAATGAGTGACCGTGAGTGACCATGCATGCCCATGAGTGACCGTGACCAACGAGTGACCACAAGTGACTGTGACCAATGAGTGACCGCGAGTGACCACGAGTGACCGCAAGTGACCGTGAGTGACTGTGACCAGTGAGTGACCATGAGTGACCATGCGTGCCCATGAGTGACCATGACCAATGAGTGACCGTGAGTGACCGCAAGTGACCATGAGTGACCACCACAAGTGACTGTGACCAATGAGTGACCACGAGTGCCCACGCGTGCCCGTGAGTGACCGTGAGTGACCACAAATGACCCTGAGTGACCATGACTGACCATGACTGACCACGCGTGCCCACCGCGTGTCCGCGACTGACCATGCGTGCCCGTGACTGACCATGCGTGTCCGTGACTGACCGTGCGTGCCCATGACCAACTGCGTGTGCCTGCGAGTGCCCACGTGTGCCCGTGAGTGCCCACGCGTGCCCGCCACATGCCCACGCGTGCCCACGCGTGCCTGCGAGTGCCCACGTGTGCTCGTGAGTGCCCACGCGTGCCCGTGAGTGCCCACGCGTGCCCACGCGTACCCGTGAGTGCCCACGCGTGCCCACGCGTGCCCACGCATGCCCACGCGTGCCCACGCGTGCCCGTGAGTGCCCACGCGTGCCCACGCGTGCCCGCAGGGCGCCTCGTCCAGCCTGGTGGTGAAGTTCGCGGACACGGAGAAGGAGCGGGGGCTGCGGCGGATGCAGCAGGTGGCGACGCAGCTGGGCATGTTCAGCCCCATCGCCCTCCAGTTCGGCGCCTACAGCGCCTACACGCAGGCGGTACGGGCACGGGGCACTGGGATGGGCACTGGGAGGGACTGGGATGGGAACTGGGAGCACTGGGATGGGCACTGGGAGCACTGGGGGCACTGGGATGGGCACTGGGAGGGACTGGGAGCACTGGGAGCACTGGGATGGGCACTGGGAGGGACTGGGAGCACTGGGATGGGCACTGGGAGGGACTGGGATGGGAACTGGGAGCACTGGGATGGGCACTGGGAGGGAC